GTTTGGATAGACGCTTATAAAATTGTTGTTTTTTACTGGCAAAAACTGATATGCGTGATTTTTACCTCCTTTGCTGTGAGCTTTATCATCTTTCTTACACCATGATCTCTTGTGTTTAATATTTTTGTAAGCAGCCTATTTCTTGTCTCCAGTAAAGATGAGCTTCAAAAATGAATTATTCCTTTAAGCTGATTACAGATATCGACCTTCAAACATGAGGAACCCATATGTCGAGCTTAGAGATTAAACCTAGGCATTTTAAATGATCATGAGCGGCCGAATACGAATTCTATATTTGACATATTTGAAATATTCATATATTTGACATAAGTATGAAGTTGGCAGTAAAAAAACAAAATTAAGTCATCTGTAAGAAATAATAATATTGCTTTCTGAACAAACCAATATTTAAAATCTTACAATTGTTTTAATAATTATTTTAACTTTATTATTAACCAATATTTAAACTTGGCTACAAACCGTATTTTCATTAGCTTGCCTGCATGTTTGGGACCTCCGTCATGATAAAATATAAATTTCATATTTGGTCCTACTTTTCATTCAAAAAAAAAAACAACCTAAAATTAATATCGCATGAGCTGTTTCTCGTAAAACAGCCATTAAATATTTTGTACTTAGTAAAACACCTATTCTATACACCTATCCCTCCATCTCTATCCGTATCCTCTATCTAAATCCATTATTTCCTACTTCGTGTGTGTAATCTGATTCAAATAAAATTATTTTTTTTTATCAAATCGAAACACTTTTTTCCGTACATTAACCAAATAATTTTGTTTTGATGTGTTTTTATCATCTTCTCTTGGAATCTTTTGATTGGAAAAAGTTTTAGAAGAAATTTTGCTTAAATTCCATCAAAAAATATTGTTTGATTAACCTTGCGACTATCAGGTTCTTGTTTGACATCTTCGTTTTCCTTAAACCGCTAAGAGCTGAAGTATTTCTTTCAGATTTACATAAAAACTTCAAGTTACTTTATAAAGGGCCGGGATAGCCTGGTCGGTAGGGCGCTGGGCCCATATCCAAGAGGTCGTGGGTTCGATCCTCGCCGGCCGAAGACTCCCCGTGTAGTAAATGGTGACTGATGCACGTTATATATGTCGAGTCTCAAAGTCCTCCATGTTCCCACAACAAATCAATACCTCTGGGGGTACTGATCCTGGAGTTTCCTTGTCTTCTAGATTGGTTCAAAATTACAAGGCTACGGAGTTGAACGTAAGTAGTCGTAAACCCATGAAATTGGGTCGGCTGTTCATCGACGGTTATAAAATAAAATAAAAAGTTACTTTATAAGCTTTCTAACAAGCTTGGCAGATTTCAAGTTTTTTGAACTTTTCAATAATGCTTTTGACATCTAAAAACTTATATATATATTTAAGCTATATTTTCCTTACAAACGTTCTTGCAAACTGCATTTAAACTGTTTGCCCATTCAATGATAAGCGATACGCCCCTTCTCAAACAGCTGATTTACGAAATATTGATTTAAATTATTTACTTATTTTCACTCATTTACAAAAGCATTCACTCAACCACTGCATTTCTTTTTACTGATATTTACTAATGCTTATTTCCCCCTTAATTCACTCCCTGTAACCAGAAATTATTAAAATTAACGTGTTTTATAGCGATGCACTATTCATACAAAATTATTAAATGATGACAGCTTAATTTTTTTTTCATGGGCAAATGTAAGTATCTAAATCTGTTGGATCAACGTGAATAATTGTGAACAGGGTCAATTGTGAACAACTTCTATATCTTTTATTTTTAAATTATATCAGCAAAACCAATGTTTCACGACCACTTGATTTCTTTTTTACCTTAAACAAAGAAACTTTTCGAATTTGATAGGTGCTGTTCTGTCTTTTACTTTTAAGGTAAGATTGGAAAAAAATCTTTCCTTTTTCACAAACAAGTTTAGTAGTTGCTTTAAAAAGAATTTTTCATGTAGGTAGTGAAAATATCTTCATAAGTACTAGTCATTAATGACATTTTTTAAAATATGAAGTTTTTTAAAAAAGATAAAGCTGTTTCCATTTCGAACTGCCATGCTTCTAAAGGTTATTATTGTAAAGGTTAAATGTTAACAAGTAAAATTACTTCTTATTAATTATTTCACATTGTGTTCATTCTTATTAATTATTCTTTGTTGTTTTTATAGTCGATTAGAATAGTTCAATTATAATTTAGTAAATTGTTTTATTTAGCAATTTTTTCTGATCACAATTGCTCACAACTCCTCGAATTGATGAGGTTATTGTTTACAAACAATTGGGAAAACACGGTACAAGATTTTAAAAAAACAAACCTCGCATCAAAAGAATTTGTTAAAACAAGTCGATCATATCTAGTATGCTACAGTATGTAAAATAGTGTCAGAACTTCAAATTTTGTATACAAACTTCAGATTATGTATGAAATTCCTGTATTAGTGAATGTTAATTAATCTTATGTCTTTTGAAATACGTAATTAACTCATATTTTTCCCTTTTTGCATGACAACTATTTTTCTTTTCAATTCATAAATGTAGGAGAAATTTATAAGAATAATTAAGAAAGTTTTTTATTTCTTTTGTTAATTTAACATAATTATTGTTTAATTTAACATTGCTGCAGTACCAAAACTTTAAATTTTGTTTAAACGCTTTCAGATTATGTGTAAAATTCCTGTATCTGCGAATATCAATTAGTCTAAAGTCTTCTGAAACACTGAATTAAATGATGTCTTTCAATTTTAGCTTGAAAACTGTTTTCAATTTTTCTTTCAATTCATAAGTGTTAGAGGAATTTATATGGTTAGTTAAGAAACTTTTTTTATTTCCTCTGTTAATTTGGCATATTTATTTTAATAAAAGATAAATCATCATTTTTTTCACTTGGTGATTTATTTCCTTCACTTGACATTTTTGTAACTTTTTGTGAGATTTGAAAGATGGGCAATTAGTGCTGCTTATTTTTAGAGATACAAATAGGAAAGCGGGAGAATGTTAATAACGTGTACATTTTTCTCACATTTTTACCTCTACGGAATATTTTGCTTTGTTGTTCAATAACTGTAAGGCTTGTAAAATTAAAAATACGAGGTTGTGTAAGTAAAATGTACTAGAAGTACATTTTGGAATTAAAAAAACATTGAGATTCAATTATTAGTTCCAAAATTATCGATTGTCTAACTTGTAGTAAGAATAACCTCTTTGTGTTGTTCTACACACCAAGGAAAGGACAAGGTTGTTCTACAGACAAGGGAAATACAAGAAATACACCAACAGAGGAATGAAACTACAGGTTACTGAAAGGGCAATTTTCTTTCGCGAATTTGTTAAGGAATTCCAATTTGTTAGAAAGTTATTGTAATTTTAAGCTATTTTCGATTTTTTTTGGGGGGGGGCGGTGAAATAAGGACTATTTATCTTTCGTTGTAGAAAATTTTTTATCTCTTGAGATCCTTTTCTATGCTCTTACTTCAATTGATGTCAGAAATAAGACAAAATGAAATTAATATAAGAACTAATAACAAGAAATTCTAGATGTTGCTAGATATGAATCTTAGCATTTATACCGACATCTTTAAAAATACGAAGTGCTCAGGAGAGATAAAAATTGCTTGAAATTTGAGCTGTCCATAGTCACAGGTTATAATAATAACCTATACTGTAATAGGTTATCCCTTTTTATGGTTAAAAAGTAAAATTACTTATTTATTATTCCTTATTGTGCCACACATTCTGTATTCCTAAGCCAAAGTATTTTTTCCAAGTGCGGTTAATTATTTTTTAAATCTAGGTAATCATTCATTTCATTACGATTAACACAGCAAAAAGCGTTCCTACACTATATTAAATAATTATATATTTCATGAACGAAAGGATCTTTAATTTTTCTTCATAAGAAAAATAAATAATTGTAAATGAGTAGCGATCCTCAATATGACATGGAGTGAATAGAGGGACGGTGCTAATCAGTTAATTTTAAAAAAACGCCTATTTTATCTCTCATACTAAATCATGGAAAACTGAAAAATTCTCATCCGAAAGAATAAAAGCCAGTGCTATTTTTAACCGAATATTAGTAACCTTAATAATATTAATAAACTTGAAACTTATTATGAACATTAAAGGCTACAAATAATAGTTTAAAATGGCAGCCCTACATGTTCATTTTTGTTAAATTTTTGTTTTGAATTAGCTGAAATATTTTACACCATTTCAAACATTTTCTGGTATAAGAAATTCCTATTAGATTTCTTCTTTGAAGAAAACGTAACATTCTTTCGTTTTTCTCTACCTTCTTAGGTAATCTTCGCGAAAATAGAACCAAAAGGAAGGAAACAATGACTTTTCAAGACAAGAGAAGAGAAATATTACAGTGCCACTTTCCCTCTTCCTTAATGGGAAATGTCTTAGTCTTATATTTGGCAAGTCTTCGAAAAAGGAAAAAAAGTCAAACTTGGATATTCTATGCAGCAGAATGAAAAAGCACAATTGAGTTATCAGTGTATTGAAGAAAATTATTGAAGTTTACTGGTATCAATGCAATTATATTAAACAATTATATTAAACCATGTTACTAATTTTTTGAACAAATCTAATATTTACTTAATTATCTCATATCTATCATTTCATTTTATTTTTATGATTTTTGCATAAAATTTAATTAAATTTGCTTGATAATAGTCATTTTTAATTAAATTCAGGAAGAGTTAGTTAATTCAGTTTGTAGATAAATAAATATCACTGCAAACTGTTTAAATTCTATTAGCAATTCGATCGAAAATAGTATTTAAATTAATAATCGATCAATCATGATAATGAATGATCAGATTAATTCGATCGAAAATAGTATTAATAAAATAAAGCTGATAAAAATTAGCATTATTTTATTTATATTAAGCCTAATATCATTCCTTCAATCGTATAGGTCAATTATTTATACTTTATTATCATTGGAAGTCCTCATTTAAAGTAATGTTATCATCATAAATAGAATTTTGTTTTATTTCTAATGATGACATAAAAAGAAAACCACAGCAACAAATACAAAGAACCATTTAGAGAGAAAAATTCATAGCAAACAAGAGAAACAGATGTAGCGATAGTCTATGAATCCAAATGATCCCTGGCATCCCACTAACGGTCTACAAAGAAAATATGAAGACAATTCAGAAAATTAAAAGTTATTAAATTCTCTATAAGTCTAATATATCTAATATTTTGAATATATTATATTTCATAATAGTGCAAAAATAAGTTAGTCAGAATAAAAATAATTCCAATACAAAAAAAAACACAAGAAAAATTTCTTTTCTGTTTTAAAAGTTTTTTTTTTACTTAGATACGTTGATTTTAAATCTGCAATCGGTTTCTTTATTCAAGCCGCAATGTTTTTTTCCTGAATGATATTTTCAGTTTATTTTTTGTTGAAATATACAAATTTAAAAGTGTTATATACAACAGGAGTCACGTATTTGTTACTACAATCTTTTAGGGAAGTTAGGGCATATCATCATGATTTAAATTGCGTAGGAACCAGTGTCCGGAAATGCGTTGTATGTGGCTAGTGGAGCATCCTTATTATGAACTGTTTCTTAGTGTACTTCTGAGCTCCTAGTCGAGTACGATGACCTTTATGAACTTGAGGTTCCATGCAATGCTAATCCTGGTGATGTTCCCTAAATCCCCTAGAAGTTTATCGCAACATTTACACAACTTCTTCATTATAAATAACGTTTTTAAGCTTGTAAATTTCGACAAAACATAGACTAAAAATGTCATTTTATAAAATTCAGTTCTTTAGAAGCAAAACTAGTTTTTAACTTGAAATCCTCACCTCTTCACCTCCGAATTAGGCAAGATCCGATTAGGCGATTAGTATAAATGCAGCAAAAATTTATCTCCGGTGTAATTATTAAATATACATAGATAAAGTAGAATTTCCTAAGATTCAAAATCACAATTTAGGATCTTAACAACATCTTTATGTTTAGAAAGAAGAATCAAATTATAGAGATCCTGGTAATCAAAGTTAACAACAGAATTACATTTTTCTTGTTTAATAATGTCTAAGATGTGGTGATTATTAGTAGCAATCCAAGTAAAAATATTCTTAATAATAATGTTCATAATTGTATTTAAGTAGCCAGAAAAAACAGTATCAGGTATAGTTAAATGAGTGTTTGGTCAGGAAGTTATTGATCTGAATTTAATGGATGTTGAACTGATTATAATTTAATTTTATGAAATTTTGAACTGTTAATAAATTAGTAAATTGCACATGAGTAATTTACTTTTTCAAATTACAATTATATTAAACTATATTTATTTTAAAAACATTAAAAATTTCTTTANGATCACTATAACATAGCACAATAAAAACAAAGAGAAAAACGAAAATAATTAATAAGTTTTATTAACTGCGCATAAGCTGCAAGTATATAGAACTCATAAAATAAGCTAAAAAATTGAGAAAATATGGAAAAAAGTAAAAAATAATGACAAGAGAAGAAAATTATTTACAATAATTTTTTAAAAGTATTCAAAAAACATAATTTTTAATGCCTCAAAAAAAATTTAATTAAAATTTGGAAAACAAAACAAGGAAAAGATATAATCTCTTCATCAGCTCACACGATTATATCCGCAAAAGGAGTGCTTTCTAATATTGTATTAATATAGCCAAAGCGAAATATATCAATACAACAGTGTGAGGAGCACTCAAACAAATTTTTAACGAAATTGGAACACATTAAGTAAAAAATATGAACAAAATGAAAATATGAAACAAATATCAGAACTGAAAATAAAATGTAAAGAGATTAGAGAACAGTACACGAAAGGAAATCTACATAGTGAGGAGCGAATTAAATGAACTTACGCGTACCGGAATCTTTCAAGAATGATTTATAATATTTTCGTAATAAGATTGCCAGATTACAATATATGAAAACAGAAGCATAAATAAAGTGATATCTTATGGCACGTTCTTACTGCAAAACTGAAGCGTGTCTAATTTGTTAGTTACTTTGGGTGGGCCCGAAAATGGATGCGCGCAAAGTAATAATATAATACAGGATAATTTAAAGTTTGTAATTAAAAAGTTTGATAATTAAAACAATTATTTAAAAAAAAAACAGGATTTACTTAATGTGTTCCAATTTCGTTTAAAATTTTTTTGAGTGCTCCTCACACTGTTGAATTGATATATTTTGCTTTGGCTATATTAATACAATATTAGAAAGCACTCCTTTTGCGGATATAATCGTGTGAGCTGATGAAGAGATTATATCTTTTCTTTGTTTTGTTTTCCAAATTTTAATTAAATTTTTTTTGAGGTATTAAAAATTATGTTTTTTAAATACTTTTAAAAAATTATTGTAAATAATTTTCTTCTCTTATCATTATTTTTTATTTTTTTCCATATTTTCTCAATTTTTTAGCTTATTTTATGAGTTCTATATACTTGCAGCTTATGTATAGTTAATTAAACTTATTAATTATCTTCGTTTTTCTCTTTGTTTTTATTGTGCTATATATATATATTCATTTTTGAGTGAAAAATCAGAGCAAATTGTAGTATTGGTCATATGTATCTGTTACTTAACTATAAAATGCAATCAACAATGAACTTTTTAACTGTTATTTAGAATACTTAATTATTATGTCAGTTAGACTTTAAAATTGAAGCAATCGACACTGAAATTGGTAAAAAAAATGCAAGTCTTCTTATTTTAGATATATTTTCAATTATTTTAATATATCGTATTTCAAACCATTATTCTGACAGCATATTCTGAAAATAATTTAAACGGAAAAGGAAAAAAAATGTGTATTAATTCTTAGCATCGTATCAATCAACATGATGCTTGTAATAAACACGATATTTTAAGGTTTCATACTGTACTTAGCTGCCCTCATATAAATTTTATGAGCAAAACAATTTTTATTTTCCAAACTTTAGTAGCAGCTAAAATTTATGAGGAGACAGTTCACTCACTTATAGTAAAATATAGCTTAGATATTTCACAAAAGGAAAACTGAATACTATTGAATGGTATAAGCAAATAAAATATCAATTTGTGATTTACAAATGTAGTACAACAATCTGAACTCCAACAGAACAACATTTAAACTAATGAAATATTTAAATTTCAACAATACAACATCCATAGTTTTTTTTTATTATCATTAAGCAGCACTGGATCTGCGTAATTAAAATACTTTCAAATAACAATTGACACCTATCAAATTTATTGGTTTTCAATGTACTGAAAAACATGATCTCGATATTTCTCAAAATGAAGACATCAAATTTTTTTGCCAACCATCCACATAGATATAAACTAATGAAAATACCAATTTCTGAACTCCAAATAATGTAGTTGTCAGGAACTTTCATTTGTCATTGACAGAAAATTCTCAATCTTTACATAAATGAAGGATTTGAATTTCAACAATGCAAAATTCGATATCTCAGATTCAAATTGCCAAATTTTAAATTAATATTTATTAGGTAGTGTCATAAATGGAAAACGAAGATTTGAAATTTCTTCATGAACTTATACTTAACTTCCATTTAGGGCTTCAAAACTTATTTAAGAACAATCTAAATTAAAAGAAATACACATTTCTCCCTTTGAAATAAAGTAGTTGTCATCTTTCATCAGCCATCAGCAGAAAATTGAGCTTAGGCAGCCTTCAATTTGTTGAGGAGAGTGAATTTTGTCCAGAGAACACTTGTCATCTTTAATTCAAATTGACAAAATTTATTTATATTGAATAGGTAGTTCCAAAAGGGAACATACGAGCATTAAAATGTATTTTTAATGTATCTTATGAACTAGCACTTACCAAATTTATTGATTTTAAATAGCAAAATTGTATTCAAATATTTCACAAAGTGAAAATATTTTTCTCCATATCAAGAAAAAACCACGATGTCTCCAGCGATAGAGCATTCACCTCCCAGTGAAGTGAACCAGGTCTGAATTAAAGCGATTGCTCGTTGATACGAATTCTGATCCTTGCTCGCACCGACCAAAGTGCTGTTATAAAAATATAGTCAGTGGTAAACGGATGAGTAACAATCCCCTTACCATCGGATTAACCGAGGAAGATTTTCGAATTTTTTCTCTTCAAGTGATGCAAATGAAGGTAAGTTCCATCACAAAGTCCTCCACGAACGCTAGATCATTTCCATACTTGTCAAAGGAGTATTCTTGTCTCCTGGGTTTGGTTCAAAATTACAAGGCTAAACAGTTTAACAATGATAGTCATAAACTCAGAATTGGGACGGCTGTTCAACACTTGTTATGAAATATAATAAAATTATAACGAATAAGAAAGATGTAAGAAAGAAATACCTATTTTGGAGTGCAAAATACCGTAGTTGTTACCCAATCTCATAAACCGCTCACACACTTACATTTATGAAGGATTCAATTGTAATGTTTCAATGTCAAATCAATTGCAATATTTTTTAAATTAAAATGAATATATTCATTGAGAAAACATTATAATTTCAGGCATTCTCATTGTTAAAAAATATTGGACATTTCTGTTGCAAAGTTTCATACCAACTTAATTGTCTAAAGTCTAGATAAAGTTAAGATTAATTATTTCTGAACCCTATTTCAAAACCCTTCAATTTTAAATAAGTTAAAATAGTTTTTAGCAATCGTTTTTTTTTTTCATTTTTTAAAAATAGATACAAATTGCATGATTAAGAAAAAGGCTTGCATAGTAAAAGCGTAACAGTTATAGAAAGAAAAAAATTATATTTCTTTGCTTGAAATACGTAAAATAAATTAAAAGTGTTTCTACATGTAGTGTAAGACATTAAATTGTGATTAATTATATTGGCTATTTGCCAAATAATACATGTAGTCTGAGATTTTTTATGAAGAAAGATTGCGTAGTATCTTTCCGAAATTTAAAGCACCATAAATTGTAAACTTGGCGTTGAATTATCCAAGTTTTATCAATTATCATCAAATCTACAAAAAATTAAAATTGCAATAATTGTAATCCAGCAATTATTATCCATACCTATTAAACTCCAAATAACAAAATTTGCACAAATCATTTTTTCTCTTTAAAAATAGAATTTCATCTTTAAATTACTTTAATAAATTAATATTAG